GCCCAAGCACGTCTTGCCTTGCCCTCTGTAATAAAGTTCTCCCCTCTGCCCAATTAATTTATAACAGTATCCAAAAGACACTATTTCTGTTCTGGAATTAGGATGCGTCCCTCCCGATTGTACCCTGGGTTAGAATCCTGAACTCCCAAAATGCTTGACCTAAAGATTTAAGTATCATTTGGCCAATACTTTGCATTCGTAAGTATAGTCTAGGTTATGCTGCAGTGATAAGAAACTTTTAAGAGGCCCTGCAGGGTGTGATGGTGTACACCTGTAATCTCAGAACATGGGAAACTGAGGCAGGATAAGTTCAAGATCTGTGTGGGCAACATAATGAGTTGCAGGCCAACCTGAGCTAAATAGTGAGTGTCTTTCTCAAAGCAACAAGCCCTAAATTTTAGCTGCGGAGGTAACAAAAATTATTTTGTGCTCAAATATATTTCTCAGGGATTTCTGCCTGAATTATCTATGTTTGTCCCATAGGTGACAGAAGGAAACCCATAGCAAACCGAAATGCTTACACTTACCAAGATGTGACACACATAACTTTCAATTAGGTTTTTGTTTTTTTTGTTTTTTTTTTTTTTTTTTTTTTTTTTTTTTGCTTTTCCCCCAAAGTGAGGCTAAATCCAGTGGGACAGGGCAGTTCATTGTGTTTCAGTGAAGAACCAAAACTGCTTGGTAAATAGCACTAATGACTAACTCACTCTTCCATTTTTCAAATGAAGGATTTGGGAACCATAGCAACCACAAAGACAGTGAATTCTGAAGCCATCAATGGAGACAGAGTCTTGTGTCTCCTGCCCAATGCTGCTTCTAACTATGAACCAGGAGCCATCTTGTATTAAATGAAATTACAATTAGACATCTCAATATCGTCATTTTATCCAAGCAATGTAAACTGCTTGTATTGGAATACCTTTGTACATAGATAGAGTTGAGGCCTTGGTCTCGTCTGCTTGATGATCCAGTAAAAAAATCCACTCAAAGTTTCCCTGGCCTGGAAATTTTCATTTCTGGATAAACTAAAGCATGTTTTAGGCTGGAGATTCTAAATACACCAGCTTTGTAAATGTCCAAGAAATAAGTGAAAGAGATACAATTTGCTTGTATAATATCTGCTAAACTCTCTTCAAATATGCTCACAAGCACCCCAACAGTGCCTTGGAGAAAACAAGTCTAAGGTGAGTGGTTGTTAGTGCTGGTTAGATAGTGTAACAGTGTAAGAATTCATCAATCTTTGGCTCTCAGATACAGGGTAGCTCTGACTGCTTCACATATATGATTGAGTCTAGAGGAAGAAGGTTAGAGTTAGGCAAAGGAAAATCTTCAGAATCAGTCCTTGCCATTTATTCTGGATTAACCCCGAGACCAGAGCATCATGGTCAGTTGAGTATGGTACTGCCTTAAATAAAATGATGGTTCTGGTCCTTCTAAGAATGACAACTGGGAGTGGGTGTGAAAATAAAAACAGTAAACCACTGGCAGTGTCTTTGATAGAATAAACTCTAGTGAGTCAGTTTTTACCACTGTGATACAATCCTGAGAAAGAGTGACTTACCCGAGAAAGTGTTTATTTTGTCTTGCCCCACAAAAGTTTCAGCCTGTGCTGGCTGCCTACAATACTTCTGGGCCTGGGCAATCTCGGGCAAAGAAGGTGATGGAGAGGAAGTCAGCAATCAGAGAGAAAAAGAAGAGTCAGGGAGAAAAGAGAATCCCATCAGAGCATACCTCAGTGGCTGCTCCCTCCCACCAGGCCCTGTTCCTGCTTCCCACTGCCCCCTCATAACGCCATGTATGATATATCTACTTATTAAGGGGTCAACCCATGGGTTATGTCAGAAACCTCAGGAGCCAATCACGTCCCAAATTCCATCACTTGGTAACTAACATCCTCCCAAACCCAATGAGTGGTGTGGAGACCATCTCAGATCTATTAAACCATGGCAGTAGTTTTCATTATTTCTAAGTTTACATAGAAAATATTTAAAGGGCCAATGAGAAGGCTCAGTGGGTAAAGGTGCCTGCCACCAAGCCATGTGGCCTGACTTCTTCCCCTAGTCCCTTATAGATGAAGGAGAAAACCGAGTACTGCAAATTGTCTTCTGACTTCCACTTCTGAGCCAACATATGCACAATTAAGGAAATATAATTTTTAAAATTTAAAATAAAACATCATAAGTGAAACACATTTGCTACAGAATCTATAGTAGTTATACTATATGTGTGTGTATTCATCATTAAAAGTAAAAACAATAAATATACCAGTATATCAATGCTAATATATGCTTGCTTTAGAAGTAGAAATTTGCTCCAGAAAGATTGACGGGGTTAAGGAACTGTTTGAACATAGGACAAGTTCACATTTGCTTGTGTGTGTATGTATCCACTTTAAACATTTAGGTTAAGGCAAATATATATATATATATATATAGATAGATAGATATAAATATAGATATAGATATATAGATATATATATATCTCATATCTAGATAAAATGATGACTTAGGAAAATGCAAAAGTCAGCTGTATATCCTTTAAACATTACCAGTAACCTCGTTCCCAACTGTGTTATGGGCCACCTCTCACTGTCATCTAGTGTTCAATTTCTTTGTGATTTCAAATGCTTCTGCATTTTCAAATTCACATACTACAGCCTTTCTGAAGTGCATAGCCACAAACAAAGGCAGAGCGTTTCCAAGATAAAGGGCTACATTTACTGCAGCAATTACACATTGCTTAGACATTTAAACTGGATGGCACAATGGTCCACCTGAATCCCAGGATTCAGGAAGATGAGGCAAGAACAGAACAGCTGCAGTGCTAGGTTAGACTACATCGTGAGTACTAGGTCAGCCCACATAAAAAAAGCAAAGACCTTATATCGAAAAGCAAAGAAATGCCGGCTGTGGAAGCATATGCTTTTAATTCCAGCATTCAAGAGGGAGAGGCAGGCAGATCTCTGTGAGTTCAAGGTCAGTGTCCTCTACATAGTGAGTGACAATCCTGGCAAGGCTGTATAGGGAGACTGTCTCAACAAACAAGCAAGCAAACAAACAAACCTCAAGGTAATATAGGACCTGAAAGTGGCTCAATGGATAAAGAACTTGCTGCCCAAGCGAAAGGAGTAGAGCTCTGATCCCCAGAACGCATGCAAATTCCAGGAAGGCAATGGCTGGTAGCAAAACTAGCCACACAGACCTGCTCTGGGATTGACTAGGAGGCTTGCCTCAGAGAGAGGGTGGGATGGATTCAGAGCGATTTCAAACAGCAAGCAACCTTGTTCCCCACATGCACGTGTACACACACACACACACACACTGCAAACATGGCATGCTCATATGCACATCACAGAAACACACACAATTAAAACAATCAAGTAAAAAACATTTGTCATGGAAAAACACATAAAATGTTTTCTGTGTTTTTATTAGTTTTCTGCTGGCCACTGACAGGATTTCTGAGAGTTTGGTCTCTAAACCTCCTATTCCCCATAATTCTTACAGCTTTAATGACACAATTTTTCAGTTATACCATTTCACTTAACAGTGTAGTTCTGATAGTCACTGGGTGAACAAGTGGAACATTTTCATAAATAATAAACCTCATTTTACAGTTTTAAAAGTCACTTTAAAGTTATTTATTCAATATACTTGGGAGAGCTTGTTTAAAAAAAACCCCTCAATTATCTCAAATAAAAACCATTAGTATGCCAACCTACATAGAGATAGATGCCACTATAGTGAGCATTTATCATTTATGTCTTAAGGTAATTATGCAAATTGCATTCAGACTGCACATCCTGGGTTGGGAAGATGGTTTGTGTCTTTCTCCTCATTTATAATCTAGTCTAGATGGAGTTGCGCAAGATTCAGGATGGGCAGGTGGACCCTGGTGGTCCTTTTGCAGAGGAGAGTCTAGTTTTCTCCTTAGGGTCTCTTTTTCCTTAACAAGGCTGTGCACAAAACACTCGGCACATTCCCAGAGCTTCAGCGATCTCCCCCTTGGGAGAGCTCAACAAACACAAGGAAAAACAACCTCAAACAATGAAAGGCCCATCCCGCTTTGCTGTTTCTTCTTCTTCATGCTTCCTCATTTTCAAACCTGTACATTCCCAGAGCGAACCGTCCTTCCCTCGAACTTCACTGGTGAAGCTCCACGAGAAAGATCCTACAGAAATTTACCTTGAACCATCTATTATTTTCCTAAGGACTGAGACATGAGAGGACAAGGCTGGGATCCGGAAAGAATGGATCCCGGCAGAGGTGGAGAATGAGTCGCAGACAAGTTTCTGGGCTCAGGGGGACATTCACTTTCTGGTTCTTGACTCTCCTGGGCGGAATCACTCAAATGTCAATCTTTACATCTTAGGAGATCTGACCAGGGTTTAGCCAGTAGGATTGTAACAGACAATCGCTGGATGCCAGCACTCGAGGTCACACACTCCAAATAAAAATAGCCCAGTCTCCCTTGTTGTGCAAATGGAAATTGTGATAGCTGCACACTGGCTTCAGAGCCACAGGTGGAAGACGGAGGGAAGCCGCACAGAGCTCCCAGCGGCCGGTCATCTTCAGAGTGTACCTGCACACACCCATGGGCACACATTCAAGCCGCAGGCTGTGGGTTCTGTTAATGTGCCCTTCCCTCCCCTCCTCCCTGCCTTACCTTGCTCACTGTCCCTTTCCCCACCCCGAGCCCTGGCCCCACACAATGAGATTTTTGTTTGCTTCAGCAGCATGTGACAGTAGAGTCCCTGCTTTGCCTAACTCAGTGCCACAGTCTCTCGGGTAACAGGTGGCAACTTCCCCTGTTGGATGGTAGGTACAAAAAAGAATGACCTCATAGGGGTGGAGCTCGGGGACTCCAGGTAGCAGTCACAGACAGGTAACCTGTGAAGCTGTGTAGCTAGAAGGGGGCAGTTAAATGCCAAGGTTCACCCGGAGGCGCTTGAGCAACCAGCCGTTGCCTGTAAACCTTAGAACTCTGTGTCACTGCTTCGGATGGAGCCCAGAGAAGCCCCTGGGAAGGAAAACATGGGAAGCAAGAGAAAGAACCTGACCTTCCTGAGACCCAGGCTGTATATGCTGGAAAGGAGGAAGACCGACACTGTGGTGGAGAGTACTGTCTCTGGGGACCACTCTGGCACCTTGAGGAGGAGCCAGTCTGACAGGACCGAGTACAACCAGAAACTACAAGGTAACCAAAGAAAAAGCAGCTGCTGCAGGTGGCTCCCCGCCAGTCCTGTTTCGACTGGTTCCCATTTGCAGAGACACTTGAGGCAGAGGAGAAAATCAAAGCCAACACTCCCTTCTTACAAATCAAGAAATCGAGTTTGAGAGGGACTCATGGGATAGAGAGAAAAATTTTATGGTGTGGATCGATGGTTAAAGAGCCTCCTCTGAAATTTTCTTAATACCTTTCAGTTTTCTCTGGCGAGAGTAATATTTTTCCCCCTCTACCTTCCTTGTTCCGCCTCCTTTCCCCACCCCACTTAGAAAGGGGGAAGGACCGCTTCACATGGGATTTAAAAAGCAGTCTATCCTGGTGGGTGGCTCTGAGATGTCACACCATAAGCTCTAGCTAGGGCACTGTACTAAACCATGATTGAAACAGACCTTAAACAGGGATGAGAAACGATAATCATGTCTGTGAAAAATAAGTAATGTTATAGTCAGTGGGATGCCCTGAAAGAATTCCTGAAAATCACTTCAATGAGCAAGCCCTTGGAGTAGACTGAATAGCATCCAAACAGGGCAGAGCTGTTCTGCACACTTACTCTGAGTGACGACTGAGGAAGCAACCACTTTATCTTGTGATGGTGGCAAGATAATTTGGCACAGTTATTATAACATGTCTTCTATCTCTGGCCCTGGATTCCTAGGTCCTTCTGACTACCCTTCCTCCTAAAGGTCATTTGCTCCTCTAAGACTTCATTTGGTGTGACAGCAGGCAGCGGTCTGTCTCTGCAGCTGCACCTGTCATGTGAGCCTCCAGAGCCTGTCTCTCCTGTTCTGTGCACAATGCAGGCATGGATTCCCCTCTGTGACTTGCCATTTTAGACCTTAAAACTGCAATGGCATTAAAAGACCAATGGGACACACTTGCTAGCAGAATGTTCTTCTCAGAAACAAGCTTAGACTTGATCATGCAAATTAATCAACTCAAATTCATTTAAAAAATGTTTAAAAGCTCTAACTAGGGCATGGTACTTTTTAAAAAAAATTCTGAATGGCTCAACACTAAATTGCAGTGTCAGTCTTTACCCTTAAATAAGTTATTTTTGATGAGGGAGGAACAGTATTTGATCCTTCAAGGCAATAGTTGGAAAGAATGCCAATTTTAACTATGCTCACTTGGCTTCCAATTATGACTTTTCAATTTACTGCATACAAGAGTTTGAAGACAATGTCTTAAAATTTCTGAGCTCCGATTTTCCTATTTTTTAAATGTGAGATTAATGGTATCTACCATATAGTGTTCAAGATTGAATTAGACACCGACACAAACCTCTAGCACCCTGGCTGACAGATACTATATGCTCTATAAATAATAATAGCAGTATTATCAATATTAAAAATAATGGGTACCATACTATCAGGACAAACCAGATATTCATACAAACTTATATGACTTATGATTTTTAGCTTCTTTTTGTTCCTTGATAAAGATACAACATTCATGAATTCAGAAGTCCACCACATTATTCCCAACAATGTCCCTGCCATCATTTCACTAATTCAGCATTGTTCTGCTTCAGACTTCTCATCAGCAAAATTAATTAGAAATAATTTCGGGAACTTAAGTTTTGCTCTTCTCTTCCTAAGTGCATCCAACAAAATAGGCAGATGACCACAAACCACAGTGAGTGTTTGTTAGTTGCTTTGTAGAAGTCCCCAGGCCAGTTGCACACTTGGTTTGGTTTGTGAGTTTTCTCTGTTCTGTTGAATTTTTGTCTATGAAAGTGGAAAAACTCAGAATTCACCCATGTTCCTACAAGCACTTGGGGGGGGGGGAAGTCACCAGAAAGTGTAGAAGGTCCCCTCAAAGCTACAACTGATCTCCCGAGAAGAAAAGGGGACTTTCATTCATAACAAGCTTCAGCAGCGGTGGGAGGCATTTCCTCCACTATGTTCAAGGCAGGCAGCTTGGGTTTTCAGTCTGGTTTGTTCAGTGCCCACAACAGACTGTGGTCAGATGTTTCCTACATCTCTTCCTTGTCGAAATGGCAAAGGTTTTGCCCCATCTTTGTTGGAACAGGTAGCTCCCAAGGGGCATTAAAAGAGACAACCTGAACTGGATAGAGCTCTGGAAAGAGGGTCCAAAGCCATTTTGAGGTCAGAGTGCTTTCGAAGACTGGAATTTCCAGTATTCCCACAGTTCTCAGCTCACTCAGGCATTTGTTCTTAGTGCTGTGTTGTTATTTGAGTAGTTCCCTATTCCAGTTCTCTGTGGAAACCTGCTCATTGGTTCTGAAAAACAGACCTCTCTTCAGCATCCACACTAGACAGTCTACCTGTTGGTTTTTCTTTTTAATTTTATTTTTTTTCTTATTTTACATATCAATCCCAGTTCCTCCTCCCTCCCTCTTTCTCTCCCTCCCTTCCATGCCCCCCACCACCCTCCAATCTCATTCCCCCCACCCCCACCCCACTCCACAGGAAGGGCAATGCCTTCCAGGAGGGATCAACAAAATCTGTCAAGTCATTTAGAGTAGGGACTAGGCCCTCCATCCTGCCTCTAGGTTAAGGGAGTGTCCCTCCATGGGGCTGATTTTATTTAAAAAAAGATTAATAACATTTTAGCAAATTGAATTTTAAATTGCCATAATAAGTTTTGGAAATTGATGCTTTGCCTAAGAGTTTCCAGATCAGTGCTACAGAAAACATCCCTAAAGATGAAATCCTAATGACCCTGCAGAGGTTGTCTTCCCAGCCGTTAGTCCTGATACACTTTCCATTGTACAGGGATAGCTGGGTGTTCACCCAGCCCTGGGTTTCTTTACTCCTGCAACTGATTATTAAGTGACCCAGTATATGTTATATGTTGGGTATTGTCTTAGTTAATGTTGAGCCAAATCACAAAGATAATATTACACACACACACACACACACACACACACACACACACACACACACTTTATTCCACAAAGCCTTGAAGTCTGCTTGGGAAAGATAAGAAAGGAAAACAAACAGTTGCAAAAGAGTGGCTGCATGAAAGTAGGGGCTGGATCAAGGGTTCCGAACAGTCACTGGGTGGAGGAGGTTATTAGGCCTTTAGGACTCGATAAGCTGAAGATAGGGAGACAGCATAGATGGATATGGCTATTTTAACTTTTTCACTATGTTTCATCTGAAATATATAATCCTTCCTTATTCCTTATATTGATTCTCGTTCTCCCTCCAGTCTCTCCCCTACCCATACTCCATGAAAGAGACTTGCTTTGGTAATTGTTCCATTTCTGCATATAGAGTCAGGCCAAGCACAAATAACTCTTCAATATTATCAAACCATTCAGTAACTATTCAACAGAGCAAATGATTCGAATTATCTGGCCCATGCAGGGAAAAGAAGTGAGCAGACCGCAAAGACTAAATAAAACTTACCTGTGGATGTGTGCCTTCATACAGGAGGATACATACCTCCAGCAATAAATACGACCCTTCATTAAAACAAAACACATGAATAAACAGAATTGCACACACAATGGCTACATTTTAGTGGAGGCCTATCTCATTTCTCACTCTGCCTTGTAGAGTCAAGTGACCATAGCTTAGTTCACTCTTCTCTTCATTACAGTCTTACGTATCACATCACCTTTGAATTGGCTCAGTTCCTTATTCCCATTCTACTGAGGGCCTTAGAGATAACACAAATGGCAAACTAGAAGGCTGAGGTGTAAAAACTTAGGATTTCATATATAATTACCTGTGTTACCCTATCTGAATCAAGCATGACCTGGTCATATATGTCTGCATATGTTACTGTCTATATATAGAGAACACATAGATATATGTGTGTCCTTGAGATATTTCTCCACTGCCTAAACTTTCTATGAAAATGTCAGTGACTGAGGTTCAGCAGTTCTGTCTGAAACCATAGTGACTGATGTTACTGATGCAATTTCTGCTTCTCAGACCACACATCCAAATCGACACACTAATATTTTAAAAATGATGGTATTTGAAAATGAGGCCTTTGGGAAGTAATTAGATACTTGATAAGAACCCTAATAAATGGAATTCGTGACTTTGGAAGATCTGAACTTGCTTTTCTCTCTGCAGCTGTTAGTTGAGACTGCTGTAAACCAGGAAGCAGGCTCCCATCAGAAATTGGGTCTTCTAGGAACTTGACCTTGGATTTCACAGGCAGTAGAATGGTGAGGAAAAAAAGCTTGTCACTTATGTTACACAGTCTATAATACAGTCTTAGAGAAGCTGGAACTGACCAATAGTGGGTCAGTTTGTTTTTGCCATCGAGTTAGTTTTCTGTTTGTTAAATACTTTGCTAAGGAACCATTGTTTGAAAATGGGAGTAAATACATAATACGCCATTATCTTTGATAATCCGGAGTCAAAACAGCATCACATTCCCCGCCTTCTTTTACTACTTTTTATTCCTTCTTCAGAAAAGAAAGTTCTCTTACCACTGAGAAAGAACTCGTATGTTTTCTGATAAAATCCTGAGGTTTTGATTCCCTGGTGTTAAAAGACAATCTTTCTAAGGCACACACTTCCTACAGCTTGCAAAATATGAGGACACATGATTCAACTGAAAAGCTAAACTTGGCTAAATCATGAGCCCACTTAATGCATCGTGTTTGTGAAGAATAATCTCTAAGCGCCTGGGGGCTCTTCACACTGCAAGACGTGTGATTGGTTTGCTCCAGGCCTAATGAAGGAGCCATAAAAGGAAAGGCAAACTTTTCTATGTGTTCTAAGCAGCTGGAACCCATCCCATTCCTGTCCAATTCTTCTGCCTCCAAATACCATTTGCTAAAGAGAACACTACAGAACTAGGAACCTGACACCTGCAAAATAGGTGTGTAATTGTTTGAAGGGCAAACATTTAAAAGAAAGTCTATCTGCTTTTAGTAGTTCATGTCTCATTCATGCATAAAAACCAAAATGAAGCATTTAGAGTTCCTCCTTTTTTAGCATAGAGTCAAGTTGTCCTGCAGCATTTAGAAAACTCGTTTC